TGTCTGTGTGTACCCTGCATCCTGTCCAGGGTGTGCCCTGCCCTGTGCCCGTTGCTTGCTGGCATAGGCTCCAGCTGCCCTGTGACCCTCTGTTGGTGAAAGAGGTGAGAAAATGGATGGACAGGATGGGTCTGTGAGTTCTGCCATCATCGGGCTGCCTGGCACGACACACCCTCTCTGAACTGCATCCACAGATACAGACTGTACAACTGAAGACCTTATTATCACACAGAATGGCTGAAGACACATTTTACTTGCAAATTAGATTTTTTATGATTGGGGGAGGAAAGGGTGACAGAAGCCGAGATGTTTTTGAAAATAACCCACTATCTCTTCAGAACAGATCTTTTTGTAACCTCTGCGTTGTCTGAGAAATATGTGCGTCATAGTTAAATTTTTTTTATTTTAATGATATGACAGCCCTGATTGATCGTGGTGTTAACTGGAGTAACGAGAAACGTCGTTAATATCTGATGAAAATCTTCTCATGCTCACAAACTCTTCATTGCAGGGCATAAGCAGTGCAGTCAATTGTACTCTATAACCCTGTGCACCAAAAAAGAGATACTGTACTCAGAATAATACCATGTAAGATGTCATATATTTTATTATTCAGCTCCTCTTTCTGTGGATTTAAAAGGGCACTGCAGGATATGTTTTCAAATGGTATTGTAAAATATTTTCTAAAGTGACAACAACAAAATGCTGGTTAAACAGAAAATATAACTATATTCAGAGATATTCAAGTACTCTTTTGTTGTTATTCAGAAACGGAAAAGACGGGAAATACGGCAAAGTTCAGTCAGTAATGAAATCGTTACATTTAATTAACTGTTCCAAAATGTTTTTATAATGGCTTGGGGGAAAAGGAATATGTAGAAACCACAAAACAAACTGATGATGATGAAAATGACAATTCTGTATCTATTTTTGATTCATTGTACAATGTAATGACTAAACCACATCATGGTAAAAAAAAATCTCTTAAATAAAATTTTAATTCTTGAAAACAAAGGGTTTTACTGTTTCAATGTCAAAATCACTTTTTCAATGCAAAAGGCACAGAGTGAAAAGGAAAGCCAGGATAAAGTGACCTGCGATGACCTGGGTAAGGTTGCTGGTGGCTCAAGATGCTGAGATCCAGCAATTGAGAAAGACGTTAGTCAGTTCAGTTTAGTTGTCATATGCACAAGTGTGAATGCTGAACTGCATGTATGCTCCAATACAAAGACATTAAGGAAACACCAAAAAAACCCAGAACAATAGTAGAAATAAAAACAATGTTAAATAACACTCTACTTAAAATTCAGCACAAGCAATTGCAAAAGAACCTCACTGTGAGTGGCAGAGGTAGAATTCAATACTCTGACAGCTTGCGGGAAGCAGCTGTCTCTGAATCTGGAATCTTGTGCCTTTTTTACTCCTATAAAGCTTACCAGAGGGCGGGGGAGAGAAAAGAGAGACACCAGGATGTTGTCCTTAGCAATACTCCTTGTGAGACGGCAAATTGTAAAAATGTCCACAATAGAGGACATTGTCCATTACTGAGAGACTCTCTCAAGTGGGAATCCCTCAGTAGTGGATACACACAATCCTCACATAGCCTTGTGATGTGTATTAGATCATCAAGTGTTCTCAGATCCTACCCTTTAAACGAACACACAACACTTACTTTTTTTTATGGTATATGCTTACAGGAGGTGAAAAATGCTCGCATTGACCGTGGGGGCAAACCAACACCAAACGCTGACGTCTTTACTGGTTTCAAAGACTGGTTCATTACTCTGTTTTGCTGCCTACTCTCCTACTCTTGCAGTGACCTCAGCAGTAGGTCAGCTTCATGGTTAGAAAGCATTCACGTGTCATTCATTTTAAGAAAAAAAAACTTTTTCCAAATAATCTATAGAGAATGGTTCTGATTTTTTCATTCTGTGCCAGTCTTAACTTCTTGTATCTCGACGAAACACGACTGAAATAGAAGTCCCTATGTAATCTGTTTCAAGGTGCAAATGCTTTTAATATCACACTACCACAGATGGATGCAAGAAAACGGCTTACAAACGTGCAGAAAAGACCAACGTGCAGAAAAGACCATAACGGGTTTTCTTGGAACAGTGTTACAAAATAACCCTACAATTGTGGCCATGTTATGTGTAATCCGGCAAAGTGCGAAACTGCGCTAGTATTTCATAACTATCATAATTCTGTAACTTGTTTTCTAATATTATAACACCGTTTCTAACTACACTATTTTATATTAGAAGAGCTTTTCGCGCGTGTGACGCGTCACAGGAGCACAACCAGGTCCGCAGAACTAGACGCAGCTTCTGCGCCGGGAGCGAGGCAGGACGTCGAGCGTGCGTGAGAGGCTGGTCAGCGCCAATGGAGGGGGAGCCGAAAATGTCCCCCCCCATCGGCCTGAAAAGCACAGTCAATTTTACTTTCCCATCGTTCGTTTAATCTGAATTTACACCATCGGCGGGTTAGGTACGGTGGTCCCCCTTGAATGACATTTTCTGTTGACCTAAATCGAATGTTGGTCTCCGTCTCTGAAATTGAAGTACGTCACTGTTTTTAAAGCGATCATTAAAACAGTAACTGGTCTTGAAACGCGTTTCGCCTTTAAGGGCGAAGGTGTTAGACTTATTTTTCTTAAACATGATTTAAATAAAAAGAGAAATCGGGGATATTCATATTTTTTCACGCTATTTACAAAGCAAAACCGGAAAGGACCAGGCTCTTTCCCTCTGAAGTAGAAAGCACTTCCGTTTTAGAGTATGCCACCGCAGCAGGGTCTGTGCCGTAAATCGTGTTTCGGCCCGATAAGAGGTCACAGCTTTAAATCCCCTGTCTGCAACACGGAAAGTACAAAGCTTGTATTGGTGTGCTTGTCACTGTTCTGTAGGACGGGTGACAGTTAAAAAACAACTGCCAAAAAAATGCACCTCCACAGACGAGAAGGAATTTGCCATTACCAATATGGCGTCTCCGACCTTCAGTGGCAAAGATGCTAAGCGTCTGCGCAGTGGTGGCAGATACCCGGATGATGACGACATAGATATATGTGCGGAATTTTCCTATTTTTAAATCTTACAGTCGGTCCTGTTCCTGCAAAATATCACCCTGTCGGGTACAAAAAGATTAGTAAATTAGAAAACTTCCTGTGGCCTTAATGGTTGTTTTTGTAAAACGGAGTGAAACGTGTTGTTTTGTAAACCATCTGCTGGAAGCTCAAGCGACATGATACCCTACCAAGATGGCTACCTGAGACTTCATCCACCATTACGGGACTGCGCATGCCCAGACGGCGCTTTGCTCAAGTTTGCGCCAACTCCATGGAGAGGATGTTAGCAGTGTCGGGGATAGATGCACAGGATTGATTCACAACAATAATATTTATCTCGCAATAACGGCAGTGATCTGTGGAAAAATAACAACAAGGGTATCCCCGATTGTAGCCACGTGTGGTCGGCCTATCGATTACCCTGGTGCATTTTTATTGCTTTTAAAAAATATATATATATTATGGAAGGGAACGGTTCTGCCGATCTGAAGAGCATCTTTGCTAGCAGCAGCTATAATTGCAGGAGCAGAAACAAGAACCATGTAGGTTAGGCCTCACAAAGGCCACGCTCTTGTATTCCTGTGGTTTTCTTTCTGCTTTTTATGGTTGGACCTGGTCCCGCGACCAGCACCTTCGCCATTGTGAACTGGAGCCGTCGGGAAGCGTGGAACTGACGGAATTTCGGGCTCCGGTGCTTTTTTGGTTTCGCTGGTGGATTTCGTCAAGAAAGGACTCGCCGCCGTGCGATAGTCATCAGATTGGGGGAAAAATATTGCATATTCTTGCGTTTGTAAACAAGCCCGCTAAATCCACGGATTGCAAGCCCACGGTGGGACACGTTTGCGGGTGAAAATACAGCTGGCCATTTGGATACTTTTGTATGTTGGGACCGTTGCTTTTTACCTTGGAAAGCCGCGGCGTTCAGTAAGGATTCCGTTTAATACCGAAGGAACTGACTGCTGTATGAATGTGGGACAAAATGGAGACCCCAACGATTGTATACGATTTGGATACCACTGGAGGTCTGATGGAGGTAAGGCCTTAAAGATGATCCTGACCCAAGTGCGTTTGTTTTATTTAAAGAAAACACCGTCGTGTAGAATTGGGATTGTTAATTTGCATTAGAGGTAGGCAAAAGCGGCTAGATTTGAAAAGTTCAAATCGGGATTAGGCGTGCAAAAGTGATACAAACCTGCAGGTGACACGAATTCTCAAAATGTAGTAATTCCCCTTGAATTTTGTCTCGGCTTTGACCGAGTGACAGCTATTAAAACGACACATGTTGACAGGGCAAGCTACGTTTTGCTCGGTCTGGACCATCACTGGCGACTGTGCTCCGCCGGGCCCATAGGACTACGCACCCGGGCCAGGAGCCGTGTGTCGGACGGCTGTTTTTAACTTTTTAATCTTTGAAAATTTAAACATTAGCTGAATGGCACTGAGCCCCCAGACGGCAAACGCCATGTTCATTGTCTGTTTTTCAGAGTCACTCAAAAAAGTGAAGTTCGGGCATGTCAAAGTCGTGGTAATTTCTCTCTTCAGCCCTTATAGCAGCAGTAGCCGCGGTCTGGTAATCGATATGTGCAGCTACATATATGTAGGAAATCGCGTATGGAGGAACTGGTTCGCTTTTCCCCTTAACTTTTGATTCCCTCTGTGTGTGTGTCTGTGTCCCTGTCACATTTCAGCAAATCCAAACCCTCCTCGCTCCCCCCAAATCCGAGGACGGGGAGAAGAGGAGCCGAAAGCCGGATAAAGAGGCTCGGAGGAGCGGCAGGGCCACCAACCACGACACCTGCGACAGCTGCCGGGAGGGAGGGGACTTGCTCTGCTGCGACCACTGTCCGGCCGCCTTCCATTTACAGTGCTGGTGAGGCCCGCTGACCGGCTCTCCCCGCCGGCTCGAGCGCCCCTCGCGAGGGGGGGGGGGCGCGACGGCAAACACGGCCCTTCCGCCAGTCTCGCGCTGGCGGTGCGGCCGGCTCTGGGCTCCGAGGCAGCCGGCGGCCCCTGTTCGGCCAGACGGACCCTCCGCCCTGGTTTCGTTTACCAAAACAACACGGTTTCAATTTTAAGACTGGGGACGCGGGGGAAGAGGAAAGATACGGGCGTGTGTGGCGGTTGCGTTTCAGGGGAGTCGGGGGGGGGGGTGTTGGCGTTCTGGGATTTCAAGGTTTCGGCCGTTGAGGTTACGGAAAGGAAATGGCTCCGTTCGGTTGCCATCGAAACGCCGCAAGTGGACTTTTGCCCCCGGGTGGGTGTGTGTGTGTGGGGGGGGAGGCAGGCCGGGGCAGGTTTCGAGCTCCAGTGTTTTACGTGCTAAGGCTGCAACAGTCCCTGCCGGAGCGAATCGAGCCTCCTTATCTCGGAACCGAATGATGTCCACCCATAAGTGAAATATCAGCCACTTTCATTTTGTTTTTGTTTTTTAATCAGTGTTGCGTGTCCGCGCCCTTGCTTTAATCCCCGGGGGTAGTTCTCTCCCCCCTCCCCTCTTCTTTCTTGGCCGGGGTTTCACTGAACGGGGCTTTGGCAATTTTGGGGGAAAAAAATGGAGTCTGCGCTGCGGTTCGCCTGCGCTTGTGTTTACAATATGGCGACCTCCCTTTAAAATGTTTTATTCCAGCGCCATTTTGCTGTCATTCTGCGTATTAGTGATATTTATTCTAAAATAGTGACAGTGTAAGGGGTATGGGAGATACCGTGGCGTGTCTGTGGTGTTCTGGATGAGAAGGGACGTGCCTTCCGTGGCACCAGCTGACGTATACAGTAAACAGACAAATCTGTCCACACTGGCAACTCCGTATAATTACCTCCTAAAATCGGAAGCTTCGAATTTGCAGCACATCCGAGTTAAAGTGCAGGGCAGTTTGGCCTGTTTTTCTCAAGAGAAGCCCCAGTGCTACAATAAATGCACAGTGACAGCGTTGGTAGTGACGGACCAAGTGGTCTCTGACGAGACTGTCCGATTTCATTCGGGTGTCTTAGGGAAAATAACGCCTTCTGTTGAGTTGGCACCGTCGCTTGATCCAGGCAGTGGTCTCTTTCATTACACTACGATTTGTTACGTTTCCTCCCCCAACTACATCATTTCAAGGGCAGGCTTTTCTTTGTTAATCCGCCTGTCACAACTGAAATGAGCTCTACTTTGCAACATGTGATCAAATGTAATTGTCATTTCATGCAACAGCAATAAGACTCTTTTTTAAATCTTTTACCCTTAATAATGTCAGAGAAAGTAGCATTTCTCCCAAATGTATATACTGTTTTTTCGATGGCTTTATGGTTGAATCTGTGTAGAGCTGGAGGATGATAACCATTCCGTATTGGTTAGTACTGTATCATTCAGGCCGAGCCTCGCACGTTTTGTGCAGAACAGAAAGGAATGTCTGGCTCTTGCCTGGTTTCAATAATGCAAATTTGAGGAAAAATGCTCTTTATCCACAAAACCCACTGTGCCAGCACAAGAAGCAGACGCAAGCGGCTGAGACGCATTTTAACAATCCTTGTGGGTTTCATTAATTTCTTTAAAAAGAAGAAATTCTGCTGGCGTTGGGCACTGTCATCCTGTTTGGTTTTTAGAAGTGCTCTTTGTATATTAATCTGAATCGCAAATGAGGCTTGGAAGGTGCGGGCAGTAACGCGAACTATCGCCTAGGAGGTGATTTGAGAGAAGACGGCCGCTTCAATCATTTTATAATGGCGAGTCAGAATTTGTTTTTCCCTTTTCACCTTTGGTGAAGGCTGAGCTGCAGTTCGACCTGTGGCCACGTGGGGGTGACATCACTTTTGCTGATCACCGCTGGTTGGAAACGGCAAAGACTTGCTTTGTGCTCTTGCCGGGTTTAAGCTGGCGTAATGGTCGGTCCTGTGTACCTCAAAAGAAGCTGTAATTGAAACTCGAAGTAGCACAGGAAAGTGGTGGTGAAGAACTGACTTTGTTCTTTGGGGTAATAAGCACTTCTCAAGAAAAACAAACATAAACTGCATACAGCTGGTATAATTTTTTGTGGTTTGTTCTTAAAGTGATAGTTTGCAGACATCTGTGCGACGCAGTGTGCTCTGTCAACGATACCTACCTGAAACCGTTTCTCATTTAACCCTCAGGCCCTTAGAGTTATCTCTTTATAAGGGTGGTATCGGGATATTTTGGAGAGCAAGCCTCTGTGATGTGAAGCCGTGCAGAGTTTAACTTTGCCATCCTGTGTGTGGATCTCACCAGGCCAGTGGGGTACTAGATATGTATCCTGCCTGTACTGTACCCCATGAGGTTTTAAGGGGACGGGGGGTTTTGACTCCCTGATTTCAGTTACAGGCTTCTGACCATGGGAGTCTGATATAAGGTTCCCAGGTTAGGAAAAATGAGAGGCATAGTGGCTGGGTTAATAACCATTAACCATGTGGATATAGTGATTTCTCTGCAGGCTGAATGCTGAACTACATTTGCTGGTTATCTTGAACCCAATAAGCCAATTAGGAAAAAGTTCTCATTCCCAGTTTGCGCCTTTGAGACCCATTAGTACAGCTGGGATTTACTGCAGCAGTTTGAGTGAAGACTCTTGGAGAAAGTGAGGAACTCTCTCCCAGTAGCACCAGTCTACTCAGCTGTACAAGTGGAGGCCAGCATTGTTGGGGGGGTGATCCCCAAGATTGGCTGGGGTGTGGAGGGTGCACTGTCTAGTCCAACGGTCCAGAACCCAGGATGAGCTCTGGTGTGGTGATGATGACTTTATTTTATATAGTGCCTTCTCGGCAAGATTTAAAGAGAAGCACACAAGGAGAGGAAAAAGCAGAATTACTACAATGAGCCTCTGTCCTTTGAAATGGAGTTTACATCTTACCTTGGCTCAAGAATTCAATAGCTGTGTCCTGCTTGGGATTTGAACTCACAACCCTATGATTTGGAGTTTAGAAAGCCTAGTCTGTAAATGCGGGCCTGGTCATCTGTACAGTGAAGGTTGTTGATTTTTTTTTACTTTCCTGTTTCTAGTGTTTTTAGATCTTTTCTGAGGCTGCATATTTGAAATTCTGAAGCCTTGTTTTGTTTCTAGTTTCTTAATTAAAATAAAAAAAAATTATTTTGAAAAGCTTTAGAATTGTGCCTTTAAAAAACAAGGTGAAAAAAGAAACAGCCGTTTCTAAAATACACATGTCCACCCTTTACTGTAGCCACTCAGATGTTTTTTTAAATTTCTTGATGGCAAAAACTGATGTGAAATTCCTGTACTGCATTTAACAGTAGATGCTTAATAGGTTGAAAATATTCTTTGGTTTAATTGTGGGTCTTGAGGTTCAGAAGGGTTTGATGTACACCCTAGATTTCTAAGAAAATCCAACTAAATGTGTTTAGTTTTGCAAAAGTAATAAAATTCCACCAAGCTTGGCTCTTTCATGTGGAGCTTAGGTACAGTTCATTTTTATCTTGCACCGACACCTAGTGACACATAGGGGGCGTCTGCGCTTTTCCCAGTAGGACTGTATTTCATAAGCAATTTTACTCATGAGTCTTTTCTGCTCATCTGGCAAATTTAACATACTCGAAAACTGGACTATGAAATCCTAAACCTTTTTGTTTCTAACATCCATTTACCTTATCCGATTCTTTTCAAAACGTTCTGATTTTGGAGCATTTAACAGTCATGCCTTAAAAGGTAATGTGGTTCATGGTCCATGTGTAAGATATCCTCAGAGCAAATGTGTCTTTTGCTACATGTCAGCCCTGGGCCAAACAGGATTTGCAGCTCAATCTGCTCTTTACATCAGACTCATTGCACATTTTTTTTTTGCTTGAGAGAAAGGAGACAATAGTTTGGTTTTCTTTATGGAACGTTTCATTGCATTACGCCCTTCTGCAGTTCCTTCAAATTTTAGAAGTGCAAACTTGGAAAATGCGCTTGTGCAGAGGTGACGTTTCAGCACAGCCCCAGGGCAGTGCGGGCTTACCTTGGGTGACTGCACGTGTTGCATTCCCAGCAGCACTGCAGTGCAGTCTGCAGGGAATCCTGGGACATCCTCGAGCGTCTGCGCCGTCCGAGCTGATGTACCCCTCAGCCTGATTCCTGCGTCCTCTGCCTGGAACCCGTCTGCCTGCTCTGGCAGACAACCAAGGAATTTGTGAGCATTGTTTCAACCTGTGCAAAAGGCATGTAGTTGGTGCACTGAAAGCTGTCCCAGTGGGCTCTTCTGTGCATTCCTGTTGTACAAGGTCTTCTGGTCAAAGCATATGCATTTGTGTGCATGACTAGAGGGTGTTATTTTTGGCTCCCTTCATCATTTCCTATACAGTGTATGACCTATCAGTGGTCCTCAAATCACATTTAAGAGCTTGTTCTTTTGTCTACAGGACAGTGAGACAGGGCAAATGGGTGTGCAAGGTGGTGATTATAGTCTGTCTTTTTCCATAATAGTGAAGCAAGATTAAGGAGTAAACTCTCTCTATTACTACGGCTTAAAGGTTAAGCCTACAGTGTGTTCCAAGAATGGTTTTAATGATCCTGACATGTAGTCTCTCCACAAAATAAAAATGTCAGATGGGTTATCAAAGGAGAACTACAATGCTATTTTTATATTTCGGGTTTAGAAAGAAGTGGCATTGATAGTGCATTTCAATCCACAATGAAAGTAACATGTACACAGTAACATGTAAAACCACCAATTTACGTCACAAAATAGACTCAATTTCCAGTATTGCACAGCACCATATTCTGTGATTCAGATCAAGGTAGCAAAACATCCGGTGACTTGAAGCAGCTCTATTATACTGTTAACAACCAGGCTTGTGAATACTTCTCTTTTAATCCAATAGAAATATTGGAAATCAACTTCGACATGATTTGCTGACAAATGCTACTCGGTTGTTAACTATGCATGCAGGTCATGCTGGAACATTTCTGCGGTGAACTGTCTGCTGCACAACCTGCACTTACTCGCTCGTACATCTCATTGCATTTGTCATCACAGTGACTAGTGAGCATGAAGGGCCACCTCACGTCACAGTCATTGCAAACTCTTGACAACATAGTGACTATACAGTAATTTCACAACGTTTTCACAAAACTTTGGGATACCGTCAATGTAATTAATTTTGTTATCAAGATTCTGTAACCTGAGACTGCAGATCCCCTTTAACTGTTCTTTTAAATAATTTAAGAGGTTATACTCGGCATTGCATCAGGAGCAGTGACTGCAATATCAAAGAATAAAGCTGCACAATTTGTCTTGACCATTAGGGGTTTGACCTTGAGTGGACTTGGGGAGCTTGCTATCTGTCTGATCCTCTTTGATTTTTCTACCCACAGTAATCCCCCCCTCAGTGAGGAGATGCTGCCCCCTGGTGACTGGATGTGTCATCGCTGCACAGTGCGCAGGAAGGTAAGCCTGCTCTTCCGCATAGCACAAATGGGCCTCTTTTTCAAAAGGTAACTCCTTACACTTATATAGAGCTTTTCTGGAGACTCCACTCAAAGTGCTTTACAGGTAATGGGGATCCCCTCCACCACCACCAGTGTGCAGCCCCACCTGGATGATGCGACGGCAGCCATAGTGCACCAGTACTCTCACCACACACCAGCTCTCAGTGAGGAGGAGAGCAGAGTGATGAGGCCAATTCATAGATGGGGGTTATTAGTAGACCATGATTGGTAACGGCCAAGGAGAAATTTGTCCAGGGCACCAGAGAAATACTCTGGGATTTTTTTATGACCACAGAGAATCGGGACCTCGGTCTTACGTCTCCTCTAAATGACGGTGTCCCCATTGCTATACTGGGGCATTAGGACCTACAGAGACTGTATGACTGTATTCCAAGTGCCCCCAACTGGTCCCGCTAACACCTCTTCCAGCAGCAGCCTTGGCTTCTCCCTGGAGGTCTCCCATCCAGGTATTGGCCAGGCTCACACCTGTTAGTTTCAGTGGGTTAATGGTGCCGAAGGAGGTGGTGAAAGGCCAAGCAAACCTCTTGCCTAAACTCCCCAAGGGCCCAGCACAGCCTCTGACCAGGCCTGCCTGCAGCCATGTGTTTTCCAGCCATTTCTAACCGTAAAGGAAAATCCTCCAGCGCTGCTTCATGAATGTCAGCATGAAGGGTTTATCCTTGTGCCCACATTCGTCAGGATCACTGAATTGGTTTCTAAACCTTAAACTATTTCTGCTTTTCAAGCAGGACAGCCCATCATTCCAGTGGCTTGGAAACTGCAGCTGAATCCTTTATCGAGAAATAAACATGCACAGCAGCTGCGTCAAGCCAGCAAACCACACGTTGGCACAGCTGACATCACAGAGATAAACCGGTGGTGGCATCAAAACTCGCCCATCTCGGCAGGTTTCAGGTGCTCAAGGTGTGAGAGCGTTGCCACCCTACCAGTTGACTGATGTCAGTTCTACCAGGGCACACTGATGACATTGCTGAGCACAGGGCTCAATAAGAGGAGGTGAAAGAGATAAGTGTGTCAGCTGCTGAGCCTTCTTCCGGCCTGATGTGAAACAAAGTAGATTTCACAGTAGAGGGAACTGATACTTAGTGGTCCCCAGGGTCTGGAGAGCCGTACAGCAGGGGTTAGAGCTGTGTGTCTACAGCTGGGGACTCCTTGTTTGTCATGACGGTGTGAAACACTGTGATGCGGAAAAGATCTCTGGACTGATTTCACAGCAGCTGTAGGAGCAATCGGATACACTGGGGCTTACGGGGAATATCCCACGCTTCCCTCAGCTGCTTCCTGAACCTCTTAGTCATGAACAGAGGGGACTGCGAGGACTCAGAGTCATAGGAGGCCCTGACACAGCCAGCCCAGCAGATTCCTGCAGGATCACCTGTGACGCACGAGCCAGGGGACACAAGCGGATTCTTCATGGAAGAGCATTTAAAACCGGAGAACAGGAGGCATGCCTATATGCAGTGGCCCTGGAATAACCCACCCAGTCATGTTTTTGAAGCCGATGTCCTGGCTCCTTTCAGGGAAATGCTGGATGAAATCTTGGGATTAAGAAATTGCTATCTGCCAGAGGGGCTACATGTGCCGAAAGGCCGCCTGGTGTTTGTAACCATTCTTATTTATTAAAACCGAGGACAGGAGGCACTGGCCTGGTGTAATGTACCCGGATGTGTTTTTGAAGCGGATGTCCTGGCTCCTTTCAAGAAAATGCCGGATAAGATCCTGGGATTGATGGCTGATCACGGGTGATCCTGAAGCAGTCTGCTGGGGTAACTTTGTCAGGGCCTTCAATGACTTTGAACTACCGCAGGGGCTACACGTCCTCAGTTTCGATAAATAAGAAACAGGAGGCACTTCCTGACACTGAAGGCCTGGTGTAATGTACCCTGCCATATTTTGGAAGCCGATGTCCTGGCTCCGTTTAAGAAAATGCTGGATAAAATCCTGGGATTCATAAATGAATAACTACGAAGGGGCTATATGTTCTCGGTTTCTGATAAACAAGGAACAGGAGGCACTTCTTGACCCCGAGGGCCTGGAGTAACGTCCCCGGCCCTGTTGTTGCTGAGTCCTGACCGCTGCGCTCCCTGTCCCCCCGCAGAAACGCGAGCAGAGGAAAGAGCTGCAGCAGATCAACGGGCTGCTGGACCGCCAGCTGCTGAAGCGCTCGTCCTCCCCGGCGGCAGAGCTGGACCTGGGGGCGGTGCGGCTGGACGCGGGGCCGGGGGGCCCGGGGGCGGGGGGGCTGCGGGTGGCCGTGGCCCAAGTCCGGCTCCTGGAGCGCCGGGCCAGCAGCCGCCCCGGCACGCCCACCTCCAACGCCAGCACGGACACGCCCACGCCCTCGGAGCAGAACGACGTGGACGAGGACCTGCTGGACGTGGAGGACGAGGCGCCCGGCTCGGAGCCCGACTGCGCCACCCCGCACCTCAAGAGGCCCTTCGAGCTGCTGATCGCCGCCGCCATGGAGAGGAACCCCACGCAGTTCCAGCTCCCCAACGACCTCACCTGCACCACCGCACTTCCAGGTCAGGCCGCGATGCGCCGGGATCGGGAACGTGTGGGTTCACTCTGTCCGCCCTTCGTTTCATATACATGGCTATCCCATTGTGCACTGGAACTGCATTCCCGAAACGCCCACTGCGCCGAGAAGTAACGGATACCGACTCCGTTTCCCCCATGAGCATTCATGGGAAAGAGGAGGGTTGGGCTTGGGGGCTCATTAATAGTCCACACGCTCACATAAGTGCACATAAGAACAATGGGTTCTGTTTCTTGACGTCTTTAATACAATAGCATTGCGTTACTTCTCTAAGTTGTACAGGTGCACAAAATAAAAGTTGTTCAGTAATGAAAGTTTCCATTGTTGGTTCATACGTAATATTTCATCCAGAATTAAAGGCTTTACACTATAAAGAAAACTTGTGCTTATCTACTGTACCTTGCATCCTTGTACTATGAAACGTTCCTACATAGTCCGCTAGAGTATGAAACTGCAGGTTAAACACTGCGCTTCCAATATGATGCGAAGGTCATCTTTTGTGCCGAATGCAGCCTTAGGCCTTGATTGTCAGAGTGGCCCGTTTGTGAAGCAATGGGCTGCAGAAACTGAATGTTGGAGTGTTAATGTATCTGTGAATGAAGAGAGGACCCACCTGAGTGCTGGTCACTCTTCACTGACGTCAGATATCCGAGTTCTTGGTGTTAAATGTGTAGCCTTGTTCTGTCATTGCATCAGGTAAAGCTTCTTTCCGTGTTGAAAGGTAAAGAAAAGGAGCACACTGTTCCTTTGAAGCCTGCGCATGTGAACGGAGCTCTTTATTTGACCCTCTTTTTGTTTCATTGACTCGTACTCTCCCCTGGGTTTCTGGTGAGTGACGCTGAGGGCGCGAGTTTGGTATTCGGTGTCTAAGGAACGTGTTGTTGCTCTTTTTTTTTTTAGGAACCAGTAAAAGGAGAAGGAAAGAGGAAACAAGTGGGAAGAATGTTAAGAAACCGCAGCACGAGCTGGACCACAACGGGCTGGTCCCACTGCCGGTGAAGGTGTGCTTCACCTGTGGCAGGTAGGCCAGGCGTCCTCGCTGCGCCCAAGCCCCGCCTCTTCCCCAGTGGCCAATCGCGCGCTGCCGTCTGCCGCATGCGCCAGTTGTGTTTTGATTGGCTGTTGTATTAACAGTAGCTCGGAGAGTCCAGAATGAGAGGACGTGACAATGGGTTTATTGCAGTGCATATATAACCACATACACCTGAAGAAGGCTCCACAGCTGAAAAGTTGTTTCCTTTCTTCTCTTTTCAGCATGGAATAAACCTATTCCTTGTTCCTATATAACCACATGCCTTCTAGAATCCTCTTGAGGTTCTTGAGACTTGTATTCCAGACTTCGAGTATGTTTCAGCCTGGGTAAACGCACACATTTTGTGTTTTCGTTGTAATTTCTGCAGTAGCCAGATAATAATTCCTTACACTTGTATAGTGCTCTTCTGGACACTTTACTCAAAGCACTTTACAGGTAATGGGGATCCCCTCCACCACCACCAGTGTGCAGCCCCCTGTGGATGATGCGACAGCAGCCATAGTGCACTAGTCTGCTCGCCACACACCAGTGTGGAGAACAGGGAGGACAACAGAGTGATGAAGCCAGTTCAGAGATGGGGATTATTAGGAGGCCATGATTGGTAAAGGCTAGGGGGAAATTTAGCCATTACACTGGAGTAACGCCCCTACTCTTTCTGAGAAACAACCGAGATTTTTAATTACCACAGAGAGCGCCTTTTTACATTAGTGTCCATTAGTGTCACTATACCGGGGGATTAGGACACACACAGACCACTCAGTGAGTGCCCTCGACTGGCCCCACTAACACTTCTTCCAGCAGCAATCTTAGTGTTTCTCAGGAGGTCTCCCATTCAAGTACTGACCAGGCTCCCACCTGCTGACCTTCAGTGGGCGGCCAGCTGTGAGTTGCAGGGTGATATGGCTGCTGGGCAGGATTGATGCTGCCTTGCGTTAGATAAGTGAAAAGGGACAACTGGATGATGAATTTGGGATGGGACACAATTTGCAGGAAGAGATTATTCCTGGGTTGGAACTTTACTTTGAACTTCAAAAAATGGAAAAGATAAAACTAGACTTTTTTTCTGTCTGTCAAAGTGTGATTGCATTTTAAACACCCTTTTAACCCATTGTGTTTAACAAAGTCAAACAAAATGATTCATTTCCTTTGTGATTGCCAGACAATTTGTGCAATATTTCAAAAATCAGTCATATATCCTGTCATACCCGTGTGACATACAAATTGAATTTTACAGGATGCATAACAGCCATTGCAATTGCAGAATATTGTGAGGACTTTTTCAGGTCCAATCGTATACACCCCAAAATTGAGTTTTTAAGTGATAAAGTAACAGCTGTGTAATTTAAATCATAATTCAAATTTTTTTTAGGAGACTTTTCATGGATGTCTCATTTGAAAGTCCACTCTGGCACAGATTGTTTTACGAATCATTACGTTTTTTTACGGAGATGAGAAAAGGTTACATTAATTTTATTTTAATAAAATGGAGCTTTTAGCCCTTTTTAAATTCATTTCTGAGTAGTAATGGGAAGCAAAAAAAAAACAGTCCTCATTCAGTGCAGTTCTGAGCTTACCCACAGCTTTTTGCTGCTATTATAAACTTATGAAAAATGCATTAAAATAATTGCATGATTTAACAGGTGTATCAGAAAAGTGTACAATATGTAATTTATTTTTGAAATTGTAGACTGGTGTTTTGCTAGCTGGTAAGTAAAGCAATCAAGCAAACGCTGACTAGCGCTGAATTGCTTTTGGATAAAAGAGCTGTAATTACAGGGAAAATTGCAAACTCTTAAAGAGAGAGAAAGGAATCATACAGGCAATCATCTTCCAGGGAGCACAGCCGATACAGGGGAGGCCGGAGATCGTGCCCGATTTTTCCCTTTTTTATCCTCCTCCTCGGGTCAGTGGCCCTTGCTGTCCTGGGGGATTCAGTAGACCCCTCTGTGTCTCTGTGTTGCTCTGCTGGAGAACGTGAAGCTACCGTTTCCATCCCGCACAGCTGCTTGAACGAAATGAGCGCCCTTGTAGGGACCCACAGCTCGTTAGCCTTAATTGCTTCAGTGTTTTATTTGAAGGTTCTCTGTGGGACAGCCCCTGGTTTGGGCTGATTGAAGCAAACTGTCGTGAGCAGTTCTGGCCTCTCTGGTTTGTTTTTTTCTGCAGCAGTGTGAATATAAGCTTTTGTTTCTGCTTTTATGCCTGTGTTTGAGAGCACCATCTCTCAGCATGTTGCCCTTGCGGTAAAACTCCTCTTGGCACGGTATTTTTCAGGCTTTGCCAATGCAGGAGAGGACTTAATGTGGGTTTGTGCCACCGGTATCCCAACTCCTTTGGCAGCGGGTGTCCCCTTGAGACACAGTCCAAATCCCTAGAAACGCAGCTGAGGGCTCTCTGGCACCAGTGCTTGTCAGCGCCACTGTAGCCCTGGCATGTGGGCGCTGTAGGGGTGTCTGGCATTGTGACTAGCCTCTGAACCGCAGAAGGAATCCTGGGGACCGCAGAAACGAGCACAAAGGAAAGCCTGCGTGGAGTATTTCAAATTTCCAAATGACGTGCCCTTTGAGGGGTGGTCTCGCAGGCTGTTGGCCAGAAGGAGCTGAATACCTGAGATTTTCCTGCAACCCCCAAAAAAAAAACTCTGGCTCTTAGGCGTGGGGCTGAAAATCTGTGGTGTGCAACAAAAAGTCGCTCAGGTTGTTAAATCTGTATTTAAAGGATCTGGCGATAGCGCTCGAGAATTCTTTTCCTCAGGAATGGGAAGTGAGATTTAGATAAAGGCTGAGGGATTCGGTTGGATTTCACGTTTGCAGAACGTCGTGCCGAGCTCAGCAGGACCCCTCCCCTTGGCAAGTGGAACGTTTGTGTTCGGTTCCTTGCCTGACCTCGGCAGGGTGAAGGCTCAGAAGGCGCCACACCTTTCTTACACCATATCTGCCCTGCAGGGGGTGAGAGTAGACCAAGTGTCAAAGCTCCGGCAGTTCACAGCTCAGTTCTGCAGGGGGTGAATTGAAAACGCAGGAGCTTGTTCTCGGGCCTCTCGATTGACCGGAACGGAACAGAAGCCTCCTGCCGCCATCGCGACGGTGCTCCTGGCGAGACTGGCCTGACGAGGGGGGTAATAAGCACTCGGTTCTCTCCTTCCCCAGGAGCTGTCGAGTGGCACCGCTGATCCAGTGCGATTACTGTCCTCTCCTCTTCCACATGGACTGCCTGGACCCCCCACTCACTGCCATGCCAACGGGCAAGTGGATGTGCCCCAATCACATCGAGCACTTGGTGGTAAGTTGTCCCGGCGTTTGCATCCGACACCATGAATGGTATCTGATTTCCTGCTGCTGTAATTACTTGCTGACTGTGAATGGAGAGTACAATAGCTACTTTCGGTAAGTGGGGGATAATTATGCTAATCCTCTTAACCTCAGCTTATAGAAATTGACAGGTTTCATGTTTATTCAGGAGGGAAACAGTCAAGAACTTTTTTTGACCAAACAAAAGCACAGAGTCTTTTGAAAGGTGTAAATTGATCTCAACTGTATAGAACTGACGACGTTACAAAGAAGGGTTATTATTCTGCTACTTGTCTGTGCAGGACCTATTCTTCAGGCTCTGTAGCACTAGTGTGATGTTCATGAGTGCTAAATATTCAGTTTGGCAAATCTTGGTGATTTTTTTTGTTTTGTTCAAGTGAACAGTTGAAGTCCCTAGTGTTTCAGCGCCAGTTGTTTTTCTGGCTCTCGGCTGAGAGACGAGGAGGTTTGTGCTGGTCCTCAGTTCTCTGGGCATCTGCTGCCGTTTCAGCTGAATCAGAAGAACATGACGCTGAGTAACCGCTGCCAGCTGTTCGACCAGTTCCAGGACAGGATATCGCAGCACGCCGTGAAGGTGGACTTCCTGCGCCGGGTTCACCGCAAATACCCGCCCAACCGCCGGGGCACCCCGTCCAACAGGAAGAAAACTCTCAAGGTATCTGACCCACGACCCGCGAGGGCGCCACTCAGCCAGAACGAGCCCCGAGTTTGTGCTGAACCGCTGTCCTCTCGCAAACACCTTTTTTCCCCCATTGGAGTGATCATTGTAGCTGACGCTGTGGTTTGAGCTGTGAAATATAGAGGACAGGGGCTCCGTGTCTACAGGTTGCTGGCATTTAGTTATGCAGGGGTTATCTGTTTTGTAAAAAGTTTCAAAAGGAATAATTCTCCAAACACTGACTGGCTGTGACAGCATGCGCATTGCGTATTAAGAACTCTCGATCTGTTGGGTTCCGTGGACTCAGGCTGCCCGCCCCCCTGTTCTCTCCCCGCAGGTTCCCGATGCCATCAAGTCTCAGTACCACTGCCCTCCTCCCCTGCTGGCGCCCGCGGGCATCCGAAACGGGGAGCTGATCTGCAGCGGGGGCCCCGGTGCGCCTCGCCAGCACCTTTCCCTGTCACAGCACTTAGCGAGCGAGGCCGAGCAGCAGGAGGTACTGGGCCTGTTCCTGAGCCGGCTGCGCCGCTGCTGCAAAACGCGTGCAGTCACCAGCGTTCTTAATGCACCGCTTATTTTAACATTTATCTTTGCTCAGTGTCTTTTTATTTCATCTTAAAATGCAAAATGTTTCTTGCTCCCTTTTTAATGCAATTAGAAGTTGGTTGTGTTTGTGATGAATGCCGCTTCCTGAGTCTTACCTTTTTTTTTTTCCTCCTCCCCCTTATTGCATAGTGGCTTCGCAGCGTCATTGCACTCCAGTGCAGCATTTTCAGACATTTATCTGCTAAGCAGATGCCGTCTTCTTACTGGGACTCGGAGAAAACGGAGAAGGCTGACGTCAAGCCTTGCGTTCGAGGCGACGGGAACAGCTCTTCCGCCCTCGGCAGCTCCTTCTGCGCCCCCGACAGGACAGTCCCGACCGCCTCCTGCCCCAAACCCTGCGGCACGCCCGTTGGCCCCCAGGGGGCCCCTGTGCTGAACTCTGTCGGCCCCGCCGAGGAGCGGGGGGGCTGCGGCGTGTGCTTGGAGAGGCCCTGCCGGAGCTGCGGGACGCCCAACGGACCCCTGGAGCCCCTGGTCAGGGTGAACGGCCCTCACCCCTGCAGCGACGGTCCTGAGGCCTGCAGGCAGGGCGAGCTGCAACACAGACTGAGCAGCGCGGGCGGGCCCGGGTGGGCCCGGCCGCAGACGCCCTTGGGCCCCGGGCTGCAGAACCACGTTGGGGGACCCGTGATAAAGACGGAGGGCTCCGCCGGCCGCAGTCCGTGCACCCACAAAGGAACCACGGCCGCCTCCGTTTCCTGTGCCAACCCGGACCCCCCTGTCCCCCTGCAGCCCCATGGGGCGGCCCCCGGCTCAGGGGGCGGTCAGGCCGCCGCGATGATGAGCCGCAGCGTGGCGTCGCCCACCGCTGGGACCCGAGCCCTCACCCCGCCCAGAACCGCTCTGGACTCCGGCACCGCCAGGAGGCTGAGCTCATCCACGCCACCCTCAGGTGAGGCTTGCAGAAGTGACCCAGACAGCCCGCCCCTCCGCCGTGGGCGCAGCGAGTCAGAATCGGCCTCAGAGGCCGGAGAGGCACCCCAGAAAACCCAAAGGGGGGGGCTGACTTTCTGAGTGCCTGCGCTTTTGCTTTCCAGATGGAAAAGCCAGTCCCCGTGCAGTGTCTCCCGGGAGCGGGACTCCCTTTCCCAGCTTTGCCGCCTCTGCTATGGGCGACATCAGCAGCTCCATGAAGGAGGTGATGGAGGGCGATGGGGGTGAGTCTGGGTGTCTGTCTGCGTGACATTCACTTTCCTCTGTATACATCACCTGCGTATCGCCAGCCTTCAGTGTCTACACCTGTGTTAGTGAGGTTTTTCCTGTCCACTTCCTGCTTTATAAACCTTTGAGGAAGTCCAGAGTGCAAGAGGTGATCCAGGTGTAACAGTAGCAGAAGACCCGAAAGCTAGGAAGGTAAAGACAGTATAAAGGAGAAGAATAACTAGCGACAGTTGATGTTTAATGCTGTTTAAATATCAATAAACTCAATATCGGGGCATTGTGGAGCAGCATTGGTCTAGGAGGGGGAGCCTTTCCCCGCCAGGAGAATTGTGCAGGTGTTTATTGAGGTTCCCCACTTTCAGGAGTGTTGTGTTTCAAGCCCTTGACCTCTCTGTCGTTTTTATCTGCGGCAGAGATCGAGCTGAACAAGCTGGACGAGCAGTTCATTAAGCTCCTGGCCTGGCAGAGGATCCAGCAGCTGTTTCCTCCCTCTGCGCCGCCTTCCCAGGCCGGCTGCGCCAGCCCGCCCTCCTCTGCCCGCGCCGCCACGCCGCAGGCGCTGCACGCAGAAGGTAGGGGGCCCTCTCGCTCGCTCGCCGTCGCCCCGCTTGCCCGGTGCGGGCCGTGCAGCCACCCTGGGGAGAACAGGGGTTCCTCCGCCCTGCTGGCACGGGTCGGGGTGGCACCTGAAATCTCTGATGCCGTTCTGTCTGTGTCCTGGCAGCACAAAGGAAAGAGGTGCAGGCTCGGGCAGTGTTCTACCCCCTGGTGGGAAAAGGAGTGGCTGTCAACATGTGCTACAGGACCCTGTACATAGGAACTGGTAAGCTTCACACCTGGGGGACCGTTTGATCTTTCAACAGTGCGTCTATGTGCTCTGATTGGTTTGTTACATGGGCTCGTCTAGATTCTTGTAACAGTCTTGACTTCTCTTTCAGGTGCTGACATGGACGTGTGCCTTACAAACTATGGTCATTGTAATTACGTATCGGGAAAGCACGCCTGTATTTTTTACGATGAGGTAGGCCGTCAAATCCTTTACTTCGTGCTCCGTAACTGATCAGAGCAGGACGCCCGAGTCTCCTAGCCTTATACCGGACGTTCCTGCGGGAAATGATTTGATTTGCATTTTGATTTGTTTTACATTTAGAATGCTATTTGTGCTATGTTCACACCTGATTGGCAATGATAAGTGATGTGTTTTTCCCCTTCTCTGCTCATGGGTGTGACCCTGTAGCCGCACACAAGGTAGAGTGACAAAGTGTATGCCACCCCCCCCCCCCGCCACACTCGACCTCCATCCTGCTACTCTCTTAAACACATCACAGGCACCACAGCCCCGTGCAGGGCGTTCAGCACCGAGTGGAGGACAGGTGTGCCCCCCGCCAACAGCACCGCATGGGTGCAGTGCTCAGTGGGATTGCAGGGGGCGCTGTGTAGCCAGTCCCACCCTACCCTTGGGGAGACTTGGCCAATGTCACCATCACCGAATAGGGAATCCCAAGTCACAGTTGGCCAGTGACATGCCCCGGGCTTGAACCTGCAACATTATAGAGTTAAACATGCGCTCAGACAAGCCCCCTTACTGGCTGAGCCAATCTGCAGCCCTGCAGTTGTTTTATTACTGAGTTTGTTAACCCTTTTTATTGTTTTATTCCTATCCATTATTCACAATAAAAAGAAAAAACAAACCTTTTTCATGTATAAATATGCTGTCGTACTTATAGCTTCTGGAATTTTTGTACTTTAATGTCAGAATGTCCAAGTGGCCTGCTTCTAAATCCAAAGTTAAATGTCCCATAATAATGTATTATTACAGTGTAATTTGTAAACTTGAAACCTTGTAAAGATCCAAGGTAGCCTTTAATTTATGTAACTCATTCGGTAATATTGTACAAAAGGGCTGTCTTTCCGAGTTAAACCAGAAGATGCCTGCAGTGAAGAGTTGGTTTCTCTGAGTGCTGATACTGAGTGAGTTTGTTCGCGGTTTCAGAACACAAAGCATTACGAGCTGCTCAACTACAGCGAGCATGGGACCACCGTGGACAACGTGCTGTACTCCTGCGACTTCTCAGAGAAGACAACTCCCAGCCCCTCCAGCAGCGTCGTCTCCAAAGTGCAGAGTATTATCCGTGAGTACTTCCATTCTGAAAAATGAAAAATTAACTTCATCGTCCCAGATGGGAAATTTGCTTTCCAAGCAGGAAAAAGACCTAACAGAATACATTATACGTGCAACACAACATAAATCCGTGAACAAATAAGAAACATGCATGTATAGATGACAAAAGCAAGTTAACAGCTAAAGTATTCTTCACCATTTAGAAAAAAACAATGAACTTGGGTCATCGATGTGTGAAATGCATAAGATACATGCGTGGTTTAAAAATAAAGTAAAATATGCAATCCGTTATCCAGATTAAACAGGTTGATATCCTTGGGAATAAAGAATTACTTAGTTCTATTACACTTATATGTGGGTAGTTGTTTAACATTAATTCAAGTTTAAAACCACCTCTCGGTGAAATCAAGACCTTAAAAATGGGACTTTTCAGTTCTGGTAAATGTGATAGTTCTGCGTGTGTGCGTGTATGTCTTGTCGGCTTGTGTTAGAACAGGGGTGAGCTGGTTCTGGGGGGGCCGGTCTGCCTGCAGGTCTCCTAGGTCTCTTCAAAGCCAGCAGCGCATGAGTCGCTGGGGGGAAGCTGTTCAACCGATTCCATTGAACCCTTAATGAGTTGTTTTAAATTAAGAGCTGAGTTTCCTGAAGAAAAGAAATTCAGCCGGCAGACGCTTGCCCTGCAGGACCAGGCTCGCCCCGGCCCCGAGCTGGCACGCCCCCGATCGGTCGATTTGATCGATCCGATCGATGGGGCGCGTCCCGCGAGCGCTCTGACGGCGTGTGTGTGTGGCGCAGGGCGCTGTAAGAAGAGGAAGCAGGCGGAGGAGGAGTGCGTGGCGGCGGCGGCGCAGGCGGCGCAGGAGGTGGGGGTGATGAGCTGCCAGGCCCAGGGCGGGCGGCGCGACCCCTGCAACTGCAAGGCCAGCAGCTCCAGCCTGATCGGGGGCGGCGGGGCGGGCTGGGAGGGCACCGCCCTGCTCCACCACGGCAGCTACATCAAGCTGGGCTGCCTGCAGTTCGTCTTCAGCATCACCGAGTTCGCCAGCAGGCAGCCCAAAGAGGAGGAGCTGGCGCCCTCGGCCCAGGAGGGGGCCGAGCTGTCCGACAAGCAAACACTAAACCCCCCCCAAGTGCCCGTGCTGCGCTCCAACTCGGTCCCTTAACCGCCCCTCGGACTGCCCCCCCCAGCCCCCGCGGGGATCCAGAGACCGCAGCCGGACCAGGACGGCGGAACAGTTTTTTTTTTTTTTTTTTTTTAAAGAATCGTTCATACATTTGCATGATATGAAGTATTTTTTTGGGGCTCAGATTTTATGGGCAAGTTGCACATAGAATTTCTATTTTTTTTTTAAAAAAAGCGAAACTTAACAGTTACTTAGATTTGCATAAAAAGGGATTCTTTCATCGTCCTCAACATTCTGAACTGCGTTGAGAAGAGAAGTCAGTTTCCATTATACTTGTAAAGTAATCAAAAGACTTGGTCTATTTTGTGCCAGTAAGGATAGTTTTTATATAAACATGCTTTTTTCATAAGCAGAAACATTTATTTACTCTTTGTCATTTTTATTTAATGTATGTGAAATTATGCTATCAATATTTTTTTCTTGCTACTTTTGCACTACAGGTAGCTACCGTATATTGTTATATATATATAAAAATCAACAAAAAGAAAATTCAGATTTTCTTTGATATTTGTGAATTATCGATTTCAATAAGAACAAAGAAGCTTTGGATTCCATGTATATACACCCTAAATGGTGTTTTGTTGGTTTTTAAATGTGTACAGTGCTTCAGGGCTTTAACATGGGCTCCAGTCGTGATGTTTCTGTAGCGTTTAAAAAAAACATTGTCGTAAAACTTGTACCAAGTCCTGGTTTTTCAATACTGTAGTTCATGTGTAAATAGTGACTGTATTGTTTTAGATTTTACATTTGGACACTTTCATGAAAATCCTGTACATATATAACAAACTTTGACTTCTGTTTCTGCCTGTCTGTTATAACAGTGTAAATACATAAAGATTTTTTTAAGAACATGTTTCAAACCACGTCTGGCCTTTTCCTGATTCGGAAAACAGCAGGAGCTTCGCGGCAGTCTCCAGAAGGAGGAGAACATCCCGCGTCCTGTTGCTTCTCCTGAAGATCGGCCGTGGAGAGTCCGGGCATCTGGGAGGTGTCGGGATTTGCGTGTCCCGGGTGGATTTTTGTGGAGTGAAGTCTTTGAGAAGCAGCAGGTTAGAGCTCTGGACACTAACCGGAGTTCAACCCCTGGTGGGGATGTGAGTGATCTGATTGACTGATGGTCCTGAGTCCTGATGTATGTGCAGCCAGTGCCAGCATTGCTGGGGTTCCCATTTGGAGTACAGCTGGGTACAGTGTATACAAGCCCCCCCCCAGGTGGGACAGTAGACTTAATTTATTGGACCTGACAGAAGCTGCATTGGGCCAAGAGGTTCCTGAAATACTTGAGCCTTCACCTCACTGAGAAATGGGGAAAAAATGTTGTTCTCTTTTAACAAACCCATTGGCAACTGTCGCAGTTCCAGCCAAAACCCCTTTCATTTTCGTAGGACTGGGCAGTAAGAGTGGGGAACAAGCTACCCGACCATGTTGTTGAAACCGATACCCTGACTTCTTGCAGAAGACAGCCGGATGACATCCTGGGATCAGTTTACTAAACTGCCACCTGGGTTAGATCTGGGTCTCGTGGCCTGTCTTTTGGAACCATTCTTGTGTTCTGCCAGTGGCATCTGGTGTAAGACTGCACATGCATTGGCTTGCTTTCCATTTCCTTACATAGAAACAGCTGTGCTAACCCCTGTAGGAACCCCAGCAGCTGTGGCTGCAGCCCCAGTTTCTTCTTACTTTATAAGGTAATGCACTGCACGCTTTTAACCACGGCAGTTCCTGTGTGTTAGCCACCCCAAAACCTCACCTGCACATTTAGCCTTTTTGTTCTGTGCTGAGCCAGTTTCTTAATGCAGGTACTCTTTCATCACAGGATGCACACAGAGCAGCTGGCAAACTGCTGAAGTGTAAGTGACGAGAAGCCAGTTTGGCACGTTAGCATTACTGAGTTCAGTTCAATTCAGGCTGCGTTTCGTTTGTCCTAAAATCAGTGACCAGCTCCTTTGTTTTAAAACGCTTACCTTCAGAGAGAACTCGTTACACCATTTAGTCAAGTCATTTAGAATGGGTCCATGGTAGTTTTCTGGGTCCCTTAAAAAGATAACCTGGGTTGTGACATCGGCAAACTTAATGAGATGTCTATTTGTGTGTTTGCTTTCACAATAGTGTACAAAATGTACAGTAAGGGGGACAAAACGGAGCCAGTTCTTCAATCTGACCTGTTGAGTTCTCTTTCTTAAAACATTTAGAACCCATCTTATCGAGTTACTGTTTAGCTTGAAGTTCTCTGGGAGTTTCTGTGCAAGCAACAATGGTTGTGTTGTATTAAAGGCAGAGGAAAGGTCAACAAAATATATCCTTACAGGTGACCTTTAGTTTAATATGTACTGTTTGTGTTCCTTTTTTGTGGAGCTTTTTAAATGATTAGGCTAAACAACACTACAACTTTAATTCACTAATCAAAACATTTTGTTTGGCTTATACACGCACAGCAAGGAACAGGGAGGCCTGTGTTCACTTTCTGAAAGCTGGTTTTGAACTTCAGTTTAACCTTTGTAACAGTGCAGCTGCAAGACCGGGCCTGTCCGGTAGATGGCGATCTCATACACTGAAGCAAGTTGAAGCAGAGAGCTCTGCTTTTCCATTTTTTATATTTGAATTTGCCGCTCTATGTTTAAACAGTGCAGGAGGCAGCTTGTACAGAGGTTTTGCTATGCGAATTCTTTGTCAGGCATAGGTGTGTCTGGATGGGACAGGAACTTTGCTTCATAATCTGTCAAGTCTTGTCATTATGGAATGTCTCCATTTGGCTCTTTCGGGGTCTTGCACGGGGCAACGCTACATAATTCCTGTCTTTTTCATGGCTAAGAGCCATAACCTTGAGCTGATATTACACTGCAGTCGCCCGTTTCTACCCCTAAGGACTCAAAACAAGAGGTTAGATTTGAAAAGGCCAGGCTAATTGTCCTGTTACATTGTAAAAAGCCTGACCTTTTTTAGGCATTTAAAATGTCAAAGGTTAAGACCCAGTAACTGACTGAGAATCCATTTTCCTAACATCAGCGATCTGAGCAAATGTGCCGAGAGAAGGTGTTCAGCCACGCTTGCCTGTGCAGTTGTATCACATTTATTGTTATATTAACAATCCATCATGGTCCACGTTGCACTGTCCTGTCCACAGTACCCCAGCATTACACCTTGACCGAGTCGGGCTGCTGTGATTTAGGAGTGTTTCAGTTTCATGTACGGTAGCATGTACACAGTGCCCATTGTAAGGCCTGCCCAGGCTCCTGTGGGGATTCAAGACCTTCAGAACTGAAAAGCCAGGCTAGCAGTAAAATCGTTTCTGGCTGGTTTCCTTCTTGGGGCTGAGACAGGGGTGTACAGTACATACTGTATACAGCACTCTTCACAAAGACGTTTGGTCTGGTGGAAGACTCTGACTGCTCCAGGTAAGTGACCTTCTGTGTTTGCTGATGAGAAGTGAGTGAGTTCATTTTCGGCAAAATTGTTAGGATCCAGAGTACAGTCACACCTCCCAGCCTGGAATTTTCCTGGGAAATAAGTTGGCTGTACCTTCCAGGGTTCTTTGGCGGGTGAATACTTTGGGAATTCTTAATTAAAATGTATATAAAAAACATTCTTCGACTCATTTTGGTCTGAAATACGTCATATTAAATTAGAAATAGGTTAAAGGAGTAAAATGCAGAATTCCAAACCCGTGCAGATCGTAAGAGTTCTTCATTATGAATTCAAACTAAAAACAAATATAATTAATCTAAAAAGTAAAATGAATAATACGTAAATGGCAATAATTATGCCAATTGTTTTACCTAGTTTGTACTACAAAAATAATACAGAGACCAATTTTAATATAGTTCCTGAATAAGAATATAGATTGCTACGATATACTGTATATGGATGAGGGAAAAGAGTCTTCATTCACCAGAAAAATGACGATATTTGGTGAAGATTCTATTGTTATATAAACTGAGATTGATGCGAACGCAATACAAAGATTTAAAATATTTTTTTTTATTCAGGTAAAACAACTGCAATACGGGGCCGCGTTTACTTCAATCGAACAGTTGCTTTGAGAACAGGGCCAAAATAAACTTTTTTTGTTTATTCTTCCTGGGGAAGAGTTCATTCATTGACCCAGGTATGAAATTGGACTGGGGGGGTGTGAAGCTCGTAGACCTTGGCTCAGACAGCAGGTGCCACTGTGACTAATCGAGCAAGAATTTTACGCGGCTCCGCTTGGCGAGGCGTGGGGCGCATAGCTCTTCGGGACCGGTTGGGCTGCAGTGCTGAGCTGGTTGTCTTCACAGAGGGGGTCATCGCAGATTGAGAAACTGGTAAAACGAGCCAAACGCGGACGAGGAAGAAATCTGCCCTTCTTAAGCAGGTGCGCAACGTCCGTACTGCGTTATGGCGTTACCGGGGGAGCTTCTGCCTGCCACAGAGCTGGTCCTCACTGCGCAGAGAGCGATGTCGGCTTTTGTTATAGCGGCGGGACTGGTCGGCATTTACTTTTTCTTGCAGCAAACTCTCTTCAAGAGGGCTAGATGCAAAAGCCCTGTCAGGCTGTTGGGAAAGACTGTGATTATAACAGGTGAGAGCATACGCGTGGAGCCCGAAACTGATTTCCAGTAATTGTCTATTTTAAAGGCTCTGTTAAAAGTCTGAATCGCTTACCAAAGGCGAAACACTCCGGACTTCATCGTCCAGGCAATAATATTACACTGAAAGGCCTGCTTAGCGTCTTTATTCGTGGGAATTTGTCCTGTTTATCCTCACATTACGGGACGTTGGCAGTGTAGTGATTAAAATGGTTGTGTCAAATTTAATAAAACGCGACTAGTTATCTCAAGAAAGTCTCTAAAGAATGAACCAGTTACTTCATGTGAAGAAACATCCTTGTACTATTGCTCTATACAGCCCCATGGACGACCATCCTGTAGCCGGCGTCTCGTTAGTCTTGTCCGGCGGCGTGTTTCTTATGAACGCAAAGTCTCTCAGTATCTCACGATGGCCTAACTGTTAGCTTGAGTAATAAACTTGGGACGACTTGAGTCGGTGCGTTTTCTAACCCTTGAGATCAGTCGAGGGGGTCTGGCGTCTTTTGAACGTCACGTAGGAACTTGCAGTTACGGGAATAATACTGATTATTTTTAAAAACCGGTCCTGTTTTTTTTATTAATCACAAGTTACACCAGTGAGCTCTAGCGTCATACAGGTATTACAATAAGCGAGTACGTTTCTTTCGAAAAGGTTAAGCAATCCGTGCCGAAAGAAAAAGGCCATATTTTGGGGGTTGTTTGCATACTGTGCGATTTAAGAGTTGTCGGAGGCCCCTGATAACGTTTCTTCACTGCACGGATTTGTCCAGAAGCGAGCGGTTTGAAAGCCAGAAGCGGTGTATCGTGTAAAGAGGGAAGGATAGGGGTCAGAGGTTTTGTTGAGAAGCACAACAGCGGAGTTGACCTCTGACCCCTAATGACCTGGGTTGCACGTCTCCTCCAGGTGGCAACACGGGGATTGGGAAGGCCACAGCTCTGGAGCTGGCTAGGAGAGGGGCCAGGGTCGTCCTGGCCTGCCGCAACAGACAGAAGGCAGAGGCGGCCATCTGCGACATCAGGAGGGTAAGAGACGCCATTCTGAGGGCTTCAGTCGGCACAGGCGTGTGCAGCCTTGCAGACAGGAAGTGCTCGTTCGGCCCATCTCGCCCGATGACCACACAGGGCCTGCTGGATCTGTGACAGTCTCCCTGGGCCTCGCTGCCTGCACACACGCTTGTCTTTCAGGAAACCGGCAACAGTGAGGTGGTGTTCATGGAGCTGGACCTGGCCAGCCTGCAGTCTGTGCGCTCCTTCGCCGAGACCTTCCTGAAGACGGAGCCCAGGCTGGATCTGCTCATCAATAATGCAGGTGGGGCCCAGGGAGGAGGAGGCGGAGGAGGAGGGGGCTCGGCCTCGCTGAGCAGCACGCTGGGATCTTTGCAGAGAAAGAGGATATCGCACTGCACTGCAGCAGAGGGGCAGCAGCTCCAGTCCAGTTCCACTGGGTTTCCTGACTCATGTTCTTATTCTTTCTGAGCTTCTAATTACTTAAATGGTTTTTGTGTTTAGACCCATTAACCTGGTTAATGTGCAGGTGTGTGGCTCTGTTGGATCTTAGCTGAGGGCTGCGATGCTGTAGTATAGTTTACAGCGGTGGTATGCAAATCCAGTTCCGGAAGATAGCAGTGTGTGAAGGTTTTCACTCCACCACTACACTTAATAACTAAAGTGAGTTTCTTACGAGCTTAGCTGGACCAATTTAGCTCTTGTTCAAAGGTCTTCAGGTGTTGATGACCCGTTACCTGCAAACTGCTTCGAGAGGAGCGTCCAGAAAAATGCTATATAAGGATATTAATGTACAAAGAGAACAGCAGCCTCGGCTGGCCAGGTGAACACCATTGCAGGGGCTGTGTACATCCTGCACTTTCCCTCTCGTTAACTGCGCTGCTGAAGATAACTAAAGCCACTGAGGTTTGCTGGCTTGTGTCATCCTTTGCTCTCTTCCTGTCCAAGGGCTGGTGGCTGATGGGCGCACCACGGATGGCTTTGGGGTGGAGTTTGGGGTCAACCATCTGGGGCACTTCCTGCTGACCTGCCTGCTGCTGGACAGGCTCAAGGAAGGAGGCTCTGGCCGGGTGATCACGGTGTCCTCCATTGCCCATATCTGGGGCAAAATCAACTTTGAGAACATGATGAGCAACAAAGACCTGGGCACGGGCAAATATAGCTGGCAGTTCTTCCAGGCCTACTGCAACAGCAAACTCTGCAACGTCCTGTTCATCCATGAACTTGCCAAGAGGCTCAAAGGCACTAATGTCACCTGCTACTGTGTTCATCCAGGTCAGTGTGGATCTACTAATTATAATGCATTGGGTTTCCCCTGTGATGCATTAAATATCCGTTCCAGTAAAATGAAGTAAACGTTCTGCTCTAATCAAATTCTGCTTCTACAGAGCACGTCTGACATAAATGTATAAACAAATTTGGAAAGTCTCCTTTATAGTCATGGATCCTTGCGCATGCTTGTCGCCCCCAGGGATAGTGAGAACTGAGCTGTCCCGGCATGTCAGTCTGTGGCAGAAGGTGTTCATCGAACCCGTGGCCAGGCTGCTCTTCCTGGACGCGGAGGCCGGCGCCCAGACCACCCTGCACTGCGCCCTGCAGGAGGGCATCGAGCCCCTCAGCGGGCGCTACTTCTCCTTCTGC